CTGTCGTGGGTAAACAACTTTCTCAGTTTCACAATGCATGCAAACGCATAAGTGCTTACCCTAGCCGTGAAGTTATGCATACAGTCATGTTCTATAAGCAAAACAAAAATGCAGTTATCCAAGAAGATGCAAGCGACGTGTTACTGCATGATTCAAGAGCGAAGCTAGGTTTTTGGCCTGTCCATTTCCAAAATTCTGGACAGTGCCACATCGCATATACGCCCCAACTGCTTACCTTTATTGTTTGCGAATATAGGCGGAGACAGACGTGAGTGATACAAACTCACTGTATGTTTGGCCGAACCTTGGTTACTTCGAGAGCTCCTTACCGGTAGCTTAGAGCCACTGCTATAATACTCTTAATTTTGTCGAGAAGTACATTACTCTACAGTCCAGTCAATGTACTCAAAACATTCCATCTTACAACTACTCGCAAATTTCCGCTTTTCCGAAAACTTACTTAATTTGGGGCATAAGCTTCTTCCTGTGCTTGCTGATGGACCTGCTAAGGTATGCTAGTCCACTGCCAGCTTTAAAGAACATATATTACAATACGCAAAAAAAAAAAAATAATTGGCCAACGTACGGGCTGCCCATGCGAAGATGCGTTTTTTGCATAGTTCCTCGCAGTTTTTGTTGCTACCGGCACCGGCTTTTTCAGCAAATGCTTCTAGCTAAACAAATTAAGACTGGCCGTCAAAACTGACAGGAAACACCCCCTTAAAATTTCAGCTTTCTAGCGTCCCAGAACCCCAAGTTATGAATTTACTGAAAAAAATTTTTCACGAGCCCGCACTCGGGTACCACGCACACCCGTTGTCTGGGTTTCAGCTTGTTGAGACTTACTTGGACGGGGAACATCGTCCTAAAACTTCAGTCTTTTATTCTTACAGGTTCTCGAGTTATGAGCTTACTTGAGAACTTTGGTGAACCCTTGCGTAGGTACCACGCAGGGCCGAGGGCTGGGTTTGATCTCGTTGAGACTAATGTGGACGAGAAACACCCAGTCTTCTAACATCTCAAATCCCCGAGTTATGAGCTTGCCCGGAAAAAATTTTGGCAGGCCTGGACGCGGGTACCACGCTTACCCGTGGGTTGGGTTTGAGCTCATTAGTACCTACTTGGACGGGGAAAATCCCCTTAAAATTTCAGCTTCCCAGCATCTCAGATCCCCGAGGTATGAATTTACGCGGAAAAAATTTTGGCGGGCCCGTATGCGGGTACCACGCTTATCCGCGGGTTGAGTTTGAGCTCATTAGCACCTACTATGACGGGGAACATTCCCATAAAATTTCAGCTCTCTAGTTTCTCCGGTTCGCGGGTTATGAATTTGCGCGGGAAAGATTCTGGCGGACCCGTACGCGGGTACCACTGTTACCCAGAGGTTGGGTTTAGGCTCAC